TATTCAGGGTCGAGGCCGATCATTAGGCCTCGCAAATCGGAATTAGGGCTCAACTACAAGAAGGTTCTAGAACCACCCTCGTAGTTATAAATAGCAGTGTAGCCTAACCCTGGTGAAGCAAGTGACATATCCCTAGCTCACTATTTTCTCAACTCTCCCTCGCTAACTTAGGCATCGGAGCCCATGTGACTAAGGTCACATCGGTTTAGATCGGTTTGGTTTTGCAGGTATCAGTTCCCTTATCATCGAGTTAGGTGTGTGCGAGAAGAAGAACCGAAGGGTCAAAATCCACGAATCAACAACTATGTTGTCAACTAATAGGTCAGAGTGATTTGCACCTTTCACATTTGCAAATTTTCACGAGTTCCTCTATTTCGACTTCTAACTTATTTCCTTTCAATTTGTGGTTATTAGGCTTCACAAACCTAATGTCTTTAGTTGGGAGGCTAATTAGTCACTTTCAACTCTCACATCATCCAAATGATTTTTTTCCCTACTAAATTGATTTGTAATCAATCACCTATTTAGAAGAACACGAAGCGTGTCTTTGGATTAATTTCCTAAGTAATTTTGGAGGGCCAAAAGTTTTTCTTTAGAAAAAATTGAGGGTGTTTAGTAGCCAATAAAAATTAGATTTGCAATAATCCAATTAGTTTATATAACTATTTTTTTAAAGATTCACTTTAAAGTTAAAAGGGTGTGTTTTAGAGTAGAGTAGAATTAATGATTTTGAAAAGAGATTTAAGTAGAAATGATTTTCTAAAATCAACATCCACGTGATATCTTAAAAATCAATATAAAACGATTTAAAACTTTTCTAAAATCAATTTTTTTAATTTGTCAAACATGTCAACAAAAATGAAAGTGATTTTGATAATGACCAAAATCACTCTCAAACACACCGTAATTCTCCAAAGAAATGATTCTAAAGTGATTGGTTGAGAACCATTCTACGGTAATTTAGCATTTGTAGAATCATTTTTAAATGCAGTTCAACCAAAATAAACTTGTTATTATAATCACTTTGAAGAAAATTTAACTAAACACACAAGTATTTTAATTAAAACCAAGTGAAAACTTATGAATGGACCAGCTACAAGAAAAGACCTCATGATAGTCAATATGGGACATCAAAAATGTTTTAAGAAAAATATATATATATATATATATATATTTGTTTTAAAAGTGATTGAATAAGAAGGTATGTTTTAAAAGTGATTGAATAAGAAGGTATATATGTTGAACTCTATACCCCTCTTGTCCTAGGTTGAACTTCCATGAAAGGACTGTTAATTATATTGATGTAATAATGTCACGGATCTGATTTATTGCATACTCGTTGTCTCGGTTAAGCAACACAATGACCCGTATAAGACTTGAACTCAAGATCTCATGGTAGGTGATATCACAAATTTCAAGGTCATAGTCGGGAACTTCTATTACCCTTACCTACTATAAATTCCACCTATTATAGCTCTAAGGAAATAATTATTTGACCTTTTGTGTTCAAGTTAGTTGCAAACTCCTAAATTATCATGTTTGACTTGTACTTCACTGCCTTTTTAAAGTCAAGGGGTAAACTTAATTTTGTTGGCAACTTGACACTAATTCTCCTCACTCACCCAACAAATAAGACTATTGTCACATATGGTATTTCCAATCTTTCCAACTATACTCCATAAATATTTTCTAAACCTTTCTTTTCCTTGATAAGCTTAATTGGCTAAGTATCGAAAGTAGTTCGGCATTGTACTTCTCTTATTAGGCTAATCATAGACAATTTTGCGTAATTGGACAAGGCTTTCGAACTAATTAACTTCTGAGTTTGAAGCCTCGTTTTTCTCTTCTTTCGAGTCTAGGCTTGCAAATGTATTTTTAACCATATATACGTTTTTTTTGTGTTGTTTGCTAATCTTTTTTATAAGAAACTCAAGCGTCCTAAAGCCATATGCTACATGTAATCATTTTCCTTCCTACAAATTTTATAACCTCTATGTTAAATTAAAAGTTTAGTATTTATAAACTTCTGGATTGTGTTTAATATACTCACTAACTTTTAAAAGTGTCAAGAACTTTAAAAGTGTTGATTAAGTCCCTAGACTTCAAATTTTGTATTTAACAGATTTCTAACCTATTTGACATTTTTAATGCAATCAGCAAATTTATTATACATACATTTGAATTTTACGTCTAATACGTCCATGAATTTTAGAAAATGCTGATCAGGTCAAGAAATATTATCATTACCCACAAAATTAAAGAACCATAATCTATTAGACACAAATCTAAAAGTTGAGAGAGACCTATTAGACACATTTTAAAGTTCAAAAATTTATTAGACACAAGTCTGATACTTCAGAGACTAAAACTTATAATTCGTGTAAACAAGAATTTATTTATTATTATTATTTTTTTTTTTAGAAAATAGCAACCTATATTTGTTTCCATATTTAAACTCAGATCTCAAAGACAACCAATGTCTTCCTCTTTTCATTTTCTAATTTTATGAAGCCATAATCATCTATCATGAAAAAGATGAGAACAAACCACTAATTGAAATCTTGTCCAAAGAAAAGAGATCATATTGTACTCCCAACCACTCAATATATCACATGACTTGTACCAAATGACACCACAAATTTTGGATGAGATCACAATATATCTTCTATATTTGTATGTGATTTTTATCATTTTATGCTTCAACAATAACTTTCTACACTTTCATATAACCTCCAAAAGTTGTATCTTTTCTCTTTTTCTTTTTTCTTTTTGGCTAAATTCCTACCTCATTATGTTAGAGATAAGTTTTGATAGAGGTTGGAGTACATATATAGTCAAAGACATTTCATTTGATTTTTTCATTATTAAAATTTTCAATTTCGTCCATTATATATATATAAAATTTTCATTTAAATCCTTAACCTATATCGAGAGGTTGAAATTCACCCACCCAATCTCTCTTAACAAGGGCAGAGCGACAAAAGGAGGATATAACGACCTACCGTTGTCCTTAAACTTCCGTGAGGATACATTTAGTCAGTGATTTAATAACAAAAATTTAAAAACAAGGATTGAAGTGAAAAAATTAAAGTTTTTTATTTTTTTTTCAAATATGTGTTTGGTAGCGAAACTAAAACTTGGATCCCAATTTAAAAAGATATTGGAAGTGTGTTTTACAATTTCTATTCTTTAGACCACAGAATTCAAAAACAGTTTAAAAAAGTAAATCCACCCAAAAATTTTCATTCAATCCATTAGATTAATTTAATCTTAAAACAAAAAATAGAATATGAATTTCATACGACTAAGATTTTGAAGTTTACTCTTTTAATTTGCTGCTCTCTGAATTTTTTAAACTAAAAAAATAATTATTTGTATAATTTAGAATATAAGTTTCTTTGGTTAAAATACTATTTTGGTCTCTGTATTTTGTTCATTTTAGTCCATGTATTTTCAAAATATTCATCTTGATCCTTGTACTTTTAACTTTAATTCATTTTAGTCCTCTACTTTCAAAATGTTTATTTTGGTTTCTGTACTTTTAAAAAGTGATCATTTTTATCCCTATTTACAAAATATTAAAACAAATCCTACATGTAACGAAAATCCTTTAATATAAAATCATGCCATATTTCAATAAATATATATTAAGTGTAGTGTCGTAATGAAATTGTGGTAGAAAAATAAGATTAGATATAAAATTAAAAAATAAAAATAGTCAATTTTTAAAAATACAGGAACAGAACGAACGTACAATGAACTAAAGTTGAAGTTGAAAGTACACCAACCAAAATGAATATTTTAAAACTACTGATACATAGGCCAAAATAATATTTTAATTTTATTCTTCTGGTTAAAATTTCTAGCATGGCCGGAGCTTCTAGAAGTGGTCTGATAGACATGGAACACAAACATCTTTCGAGGGCACGTGGTGCATTCCTATTGGATTGTGAGCTTGTTTATGCCCGGATGGTGATTGGTGTCTTCCCTCAACCACTTCCATAT